ATATCTTTGGACTTCAGTCTACAGTAGATTTTATTTCTGGGGTTGGTTGCTCTGGTGTGAACAGCTGGGAATTCTTCCTCTGTCTGGGCTTTCTCTCCCTTGGGACAAAGCCATCTGGGTTTTGAATTTAGTAGAGGACCTCTGTCTGAGGGTAGGATCAGGATTGTACTTTACCCATGTGTCTATTTGTTTTTGGTAGACCATGTTAAATGTGTTTGTTGTGTCTATATTTCTGTGTCTGCATAAGAAAATAGGAAATCCCAGTACAGTTCCTCAGGATGGCCCATTGGGATGCATCCTTCAGAACTAGGCTGCCTCTAAGATGATTCAAAAGAAATTTGAGCTCATGGTATAGCTGGAAGAACCTAAGAAGTGGCCTGTGTTGCCAGAATCTAAGCAAACTATGGAAAGAGAAGATGATGTTATTAATTCAGACTAACTCTCCCACTGCATCACCACTGCCTCCTTATGAGGGCTCTCGGCTGCCGACCAGAGGCACTACAGCCCTTGGCAGGGTGTGAATTTTAACAAACCTGAGTGGCCACTGAGATTGGTTTGTCTAGAGGCTCAGCTGCTGGGAGCCTGCTTCTCCTAAGTGCTCCAAGCTCCATTTTTTTTTTTTTACCTTCTAAGAGAATAAATAGCCTCGTTATCTGAGGTTTAGATAGGAGAGTACCCTATAGTCTTATTTGTGTGTCAATTTTGTTTTGTGTGTACTTTATTGACTCAGAAGTAAAAAGAAAAATGTAATATGAGGCTTCTTCTTCTCCCCTCCCATCTTCATCTCCAGACACCTGGCAGCAGCCATCCTGTGCTCACTCTCCCTCCCAGCGCCGTCTTCCTCTAGGAAAAGCTGTCACTTTAAATCAGGTGTTCTGAAGCTGCTCTTTTTACTTTCTGAGTTTTTCACCTTTATTGTGCACACTCGCTTTCTATTTTCTGTTGTGTTTGTCAACAGTCCACATTAAGGGGGTACCCTTAAAGGAGAGGATCCCAGGCCTCTCAAAGATGACAGACAGCATTCTTTGATTGATTATAAATTAATTTTAAAATGGCTTTTAAGGAATTCTTACAGCATGCAAAGCTTTGGTCATCTGAGTAAAGTCTTAACTTAGTTCATCTGCCAGAAACATAATTTGGTTCTAGTTTTCCCTCTGAGTTTTGCATTGTACCTGGGACACAAACACTAGCATTTTAAAATGACAGCTATGAGATCTCTATGCTTATCTGTGTGTTTATGTATGTCTATATGTTGTTGACATAGCACATTTCTACTGCTGAATGGTACTGCTAATTTGTAATATTACACTGGCATAAGCAAGCACTTATATGACAATTCTCAAAAATATAACAGAAACTAACCCAAATGCTTTTCAGAATCACATGATCTGAGAAAATAGTCTACATTTAAGCAGGTTTTGAATTTGGTTTGGTTAAATAGGCATATCTTTAGAATCATCAACATTAAATAATACTTTTGTTCTACCTGGGTTTATTAGTCAAATAGGTTCATGTTATCTTTGTTGCAAAACTTGTCGGCAAGAAAAATAACTTGGTATGATAAAATTTTCTTACGTAGCCTAGCCGGTGTGACTCAGCGGATTGAGCATCTTCCTATGGACTGAGAGGTCCCAGTTCGATTCCCAGTGTGGGCAAGTGCCTGGGTTGGGGGCTGATGCCCAGTAGGGGGCGTGCAGGAGGTAGCCGATTGATGTTTCTTTCTCACATCTATGTTTCTGTCACTCTCTCCCTTCCTCTTTCTCTAAAAAAATCAATAAAAACATATTAAATTTTTTTTTTTCATAAGTAATCAAAACCTAATTGTTAGGAGCAAATAAATTAAGTAAATATAAGTAGTATAAAATATTTCTTTCTGGTTAACTCTTTAGCAATAATTATACTATATATGTACACTTCAAAATGGTTTTCTAAATCTCTTTGGTGACTAAAAACTTTAAAGTTTTGCTAGCTAAATTAAATGATGGATATTCATTGACTATCTAAGTCATTACCAAATCAGAATATTAATTGCTTACTTTTTAGCTGTAGCTAGAAATTAAAATTTCTAGGGGTTAAGAATTCAAATTAACATGGAAGAAAATATGTTTTCAATAAAGACGGCATAAGATGGAGACACATTTTTTTTAAAGTTTTTTTTTTTTTTCTTTATTGATTTTAGAGAGAGAGGAAGTGAGAAGGAGAGATAGAAACATCAATGAGAGAAATCATCGATTGGCCGCCTCCTGCATGTTCCCCACTGGAGATTTGGCTCACAACCTGGGCATGTGTCCTGACCGGGAACCGGACCTGTGACCTCTTGGTGGATGGATTGATGCTCAGCCACTGAGCCACAGCAGCCGGACTGGAGACACATTTTTTGATGGAAAGAAAAATAATTTTGTTCTGAAGTAAGGCTGGTTGTTTCAGAATGGGGGTGGGGGGGGAGATAGAGAGAGCACAAAATCCAAATGTAAAAAGAAAAACTGTAGAAGGTTTGTGGAAAAGGAATCATGAGAAAATAAATTTTATGTGAGGTCAAGCTGAATAAGATTGAAATAAATTTAATCAAGTTAAGTGAATTTAAATATCAAAAGTAAGCTGATACAAAATTAGAGTTAAGTTTTCTTTTTCTGCTAAAAAGGACCATTGGTTTCCTACTGATACTGTGAAAAGGGTTTCTGCTTAGAAAACAGATTCTGTGTTTTATCTAAATAATTTTGTTTTATATTGTCTTAACTAGGTACTTGATTACATAAGAAAACTGAATCTCCTCAATAGTAAGAACTAAATTTTGCTAAGAATTATGCAAATTCTGGATTTGTCTTTAAAATCTTTTATTGTCACTTTGCTTAAATGGATAATTAAATATTGCTTCATAATAACTTATGATCCCATTTAGTCAAATGTTCAAAACTTGTGATATATTTTGACAAATTTCCCAGGATTCAGGGTTTAAAAGGAGACTTTTCTTTACCTGGAAATGGCTTTGGGTTATTCCACTGGGTACCTGGAAAACCTCAAAAATTTGTTCTCTCTTTATAAAAGATAAAATTTAAACTAATTAGGCCTATTTTATATATTAACATTACATGAGAAAGCTTGTAAAATAAAGAAATTATGTCATATTTGTATGCATATATTCTTATCAGTAAAATGAGTTTCTGGAGATTATAATCTCCAAGAGTCTACAGTGTCCTAATATAATATTTTCACATGTAATTCTATTTGTTATCTTAAAATATTATGCTACAGAGAAGAGCAAATTTCTTTATCAATTGCATTATAATCAGATCTATAACCATGCCATTTGCAGTTTTTATTTTTTATCATTTACAGACAGTCATTCTTTTACTCTGATATATTTGCAAATATGTTTCTTCTCCAGAAAGATTCATGAAGAGGACTCTAACATTCTAAAATACTGGTCTCTGAGAATAAACTTTCAGGTCATACCTTTAAAATGGATACTACCTATGACTAAAAGCAATTTGGTAAAATTATATATATATTTAATTATATATTTGTAAACAGAATTGACCCCTCCAGAATTCAGAAACTCTTAACGAGTATTTTTACTTTCATGGCAATGTGATTATTTGCATAAGTTTCATAAAATCTGTTCTCTTAATAACAGGACATAATAGAAAACTGGTTTTATTACCAAGGTCCTGAATGAAATGTCATGTTTCAGAGAGAGATGCATGGACTCAAATATGACCAGAAAACTATCTTCCAAACTAAATTAATATTAATTGAATACATCAGTGAAATAAAGCATAGAGGTATAAGAACAGTGATATAAGAATATTTACTTACTGCTAACACCAGGCACTGTGTTAAACACTTTACTAGCATTATCTCCTTTAACTCTTGTTAATCCTTACCCAAGGATATTTTTCCGTTAACTTTTAGATAGAGTGGAAGGGAGAGAGGGAGGGAGAGGAAGAAGGGGAGGGAGAGACATCAATGTGAGAGACACATGGATTGGTTGCCTCCCACACAACCCCAGACCTGCCAGGGATAGAACCTGCAACCCAGGTACGTGCCCTTGACCAGAAATTAAACCCAAGACCCTTCAGTCCACGGGCTAAGCAAAATCTTTTAACAACCTTTAAAGGTGAGAAAACTGGCTTAGAGAGGTGATGATTATCTGACAAACAGAAAATTAGGATTAAATCTGTGGAGGCGATAGTGCTCTTTTCCTACAGTTAATGTAATGGTAGTGAGCCAGCCTGCAGAGGTTCCCACCCAACCCTACCACGTGTCTCCTGTGTGACCTTGTTTGAATAACTTAACATCAGTCGTAGGGTCAGTCCTTTACCTACTGGCCAGAGTCATATAGCTGCACGCTTTCAAAACGGAGTGAGTGAGTCACTTCCTACGCAGTCTTTTGGTTTCAATCTCAGGACTGAAAGATTCTGTGGCCCAATTAACACTGATGCCTTCCGGAGCTGCTGTTAGTTAGCTCTGTTAGGACTTACAGAGCAATGTCATGCCTACTGGCCATTTTGTAAGCCTCCAGGCCCTAGGAGAACAAAGTCAAACTTTCCGCAAGAGAACTGGCCCACAAGAAATGCCACCAGCAACAGGAACCAAAGGAGCACCCAATCGCACATCCACATTCCTATAGACCCACCCCCCTGCCCAAACCCACCAACCAAGGCCCCCAAACCCACTGACCGGCAAATAGCTTCCCGCCAGTGGACGCATATGAGGACCAAATTCCAGCTCCTAGGGGCTGCCCAGTACTTCATGGCTCTGTCACCTGTAGCCCTTCCCTTTGGCCATCCCCATCCCTAAAATAAACCCAATTTTTCTTGATTCACTGGCTAAAATTACTATTCAGCATGCCTGTGCACCTGGAAGCCCCGACCGGAACCTTTCCCTCTTCGATTCTGAGATGAGTTGCTTGAGGTGACAAGTAACAGTTTAACGTATCTGTAGGCATGCTCTCGACAGAAAGTCACGCCCACTGCCCTCGCTCTGCGGGAGGCACTCACCGGCGCGGGTCCGGAGCTCCTGGCCCAGGGGCGCGCGCACCCCCGGAGGCCGCGCAGAGCCCCCACCGCGTGCAGGCGCGCGGCGCAGCTCCTCAGCATGGTTCCAAGGGCGCGCGAGCACCCAGGCCGCGGCGACCGCCGACTCACCAACCTAACCCGCTCATCCTCCAACCCAAGGAGAGGAGGGCGGAGCCTGACGCAGGCCCAGTGCTCGTGAGGGGCGGTGGGCGGGGCCGGGAGGGGAAGGCCTCTGGGAAGCGAGGTGGAGGGCGAGGGCCCGCCCCACCCCGGGCCCGCCCCACCCCTCGGCCCTGGCGCCTGCGCGCCGCGAGTGCTGGAGTCGCTGTCTTCCCTCTCCTGCCGCGCCCGCCGAGCCCGACGCTGTTTAGTTCTCCCGCGGCTGTCCCTCCAGCAGAAGGCTTAAGGCCCTGGGGCGGGTAGGAGTGCACACAGTGAATTGTAGGAATAGTATTTCCTTGTACGCCATAGTCAAGACCCTGGGATCAGGTTGGTAGTGATTTACAGAGAGCTTTCTGGGTGCAAATAGTATATGCTGAAAATGCTCCCTGGTCTATCCCTTCACGCCCCATCCCTCCCACACACCCTTAAAACTTTCCACAGAGCTAAACGTCCTTAAGTCAGGCTTTTTCAAATAGAAATAGAAATCATAAGAACATTGGAAGGATGTGTTATCTCTGGCATTGGAGAGAGACCTGAGCTCAAACTTCCCCTCCACCCCTTAACACCTTGTATAAATTCTTTAACCGTACCTGACTTCTGGTTCCTCACCTGTTTTGAGAACTAAAAAGAAATGTACGGTATATCGAGTTTTACTATTGCCAGGACCTTCTCTTCTAGTAGGAATCACGAAGTTAGAAGTCACTTGGCCTTGTATGCTATATCTCCTAAAAGAACGTGTGCCCAGAAGCTTGTACAGGTTATGGGAACTGATTATTAAAATTTCAAGAATTTGGCTAGCCAGTTCTTTAACAGTGCCATTATTAAAATTTAAATTATGTGAGCTTACAATTAAATTATATTAAAAAAGAAGGTATTAGATACCAAAACTGTAATTTCTAATTATTTTATATTTACCTGTGCTCTCTCTTTTTTTTTTTAAATCCTCACCTGAGGATATTTTTTTCATTTATCTTCAGATAGATCAGGAGGGAGAGAAAGGGATAGAGAGAGAAACATTGATGTGAGAGGGACATGTTGACTGGTTGCCTGCTGTACGACCCGGACCAAGACTGGGATGAGCCAACAACCGAGGTACCTGCCCTTGACCGGAATTGAACGTGCCCTTGACCAGAATCGAATCCAAAATTCATTGGTCCTCTGGCCAACGCTCTATCCACTGAGCCAAACCGGCCAGGGCTTATCTGTGCTCTTGAGGTTATTTATCTCTTATTTGGATGGTGGAAATACTAGGAACATGTCTTTCAATATTCACAATCACAGTGGTAGCTTGAAATAGACTGGGAGTAGTTATTTCAGACACTGCAAATGAGGGCCTTCTTGTCTCTCTTTTTTATTAAACAGCCAATATACTACAGTCCAAGTCCATTCTGAGGTGAAGTTTTAAGACTCTAGTAATGGGTTACTAGAATTGCTTACCTCAGCACATCGTTACACAATCTTTTCCCACCAACACAGCTCTGTAACCACTCACATAGTAAAGATGGGACTGAAGGGACCATTTTCAGTAAAGATTTACAAGAGATAAATAAACTTGGCTTTGGGCTTGGGTCTAAGTTCAGAGAGCCTCATTTTATCGTGTGTGTGTGTGAGCAATCACTATCTATGAAACTAACTTCCAATTATTGCAACACTCTTGAAAGCGTCTCTTTTCTCAATTCAGTTGTTTTTCATCTGGATCAAAAATTGGTTATCTATATAGGTATGGATCTATTTTGGACTCTCTATTCTGTGCCATTGAGCTACTTATCTTTTTTCTTTTTTTTTTTAACTTATCTTTATTGTTGAATGTATTACAGATGTTCCTCCTTTTCCCCCTATTGACCCCCTTCTTCCCGCTCCTGCCCCTCTCCTGCCTTTCCCCACACTGTTGTCTGTTATGCATATAAGTTCTTTAGTTTATTTCTTCCCACCCCCCACCCCCTTCCCTTTGAGGTTTGTCAGTCTAGCAACCAATTTGTACTTCTTAATCCCTTCACTTTTTCACTCATTCCCCCAATCCCCCTCCCATCTGGCAACCAACAAAATATTCTCTGTATCTATGAAAATGTTTCTGTTCTGCTTGTTCATTTTGTTTGTAGATTCAATTGTCAATAGATATGTATTTATTGCCATTTGTTTGTTCATATTTGTTATCTTTTTCTTCAAGAAGACCCTTCAACATTTTATATAATAATGGTTTGATGAACTCCTTTAGCTTTTCCTTGTCTGGGAAACTCTTTATATGTCCATCGATTCTAAATGCCAGCTTTGCAGGATAGAGTAATCTTGGTTGTAGGTTCTTGCTTTTCATCACTCTGAATATTTCTTGCCACTTCCTTCTGGCCTGCAAAGTTTTTTGAGAAATCAGCTGACAGTCTTATGGTAACTCCCTTGTAAGTAACTAACTGCTTTTAAGATTCTCTCTTTGTCTTGAACCTTTTGCATTTTGATGATGATGTGTCTTGGTGTGGGCCTCTTGGGGTTCATCTTGTTTGGGACTCTCTGTGCTTCCTGGACTTGTATATCTGTTTCCTTCATCAAGTTAGGGACGTTTTCTGTCATTATTGTTTCAAATAGGTTTTTAATTTCTTGTTCTCTCTCTTCTCCTTCTGGCACCCCCAAGATGCAAATGTTGGAACGCTTGAAGTTGTCCCAGAGGCTCTTTACACTATCCTCATTTTTTTGGATTCTCCTTTCTTTTTGCTGTTCTGATTGGGTGTTTTTGCTTCCTTATATTCCAAATCCAGGGTTTGCTTCTTGGCTTTACCTACTCTACTATTGAATATGTGTAAATTATTCTTTATTTCAGTTAAAACCTCCTTCGTTTCTAACTGGTCTTTTTTTATGCTCTTGAGGCCCTCTCTAAGTTCATTGAAGTTCTCACCAAGTTCACTGAGTATCCTTATAAGCAGTGTTTTGAACTCTGCATCTGTTAGGTTGCTTATCTCTATTTCGCTTAGTTGTTTTCCTGGAGTTCTGTTCTTTCATTTGGGACCTGTTTCTTTGTCTCCTCATTTTGGCTGCCTCCCTGTGTTTGCTTTTATGAATTAGGTAGAGTTGCTATGTCTCCTGCGCTTCCTAGGGTGGCCTGTTGTGGTAGGTGTCCTGTAGGGTCCAGTGGCACAGCCTCCCTGATCTCCCAGCTGGGCCCTCAAGGTGCACCCCTCGTGTGGACTTTACACCCTTCTGTTGTAATTGAGTCTTGATTGCTGTTGGCACATCAATGAGAGGGTTTTACTCAGGCTGATCAACTGTAAGGACTGGCTGTGCCCACTATCCACCGACCTCTGACAACCTTGGATGATCAGCTGTGCAGGGGCCACCACACAGAGCAAGACTTACTTCAGCAAGGCTCTGGTACTCACGGAGTCCATTCCTTGAGTGTGTCACTTGTGGAGGTGGTTGGGTGGTGGTGGTTCATAGTGTTCTGAATCTGTCTGTGGGTGTGCTGGCTCTGGGGCAAGGTCAGCCACTGCCTGTGTTCTACCTGGGGCCACCCGGCATAAGCTACAAAGTGATCTGTATACGGCTTCTTCTTGTGCTGGGCTTGGAGGTGCCCAGGAAAAGCCAAGTTGTGAACCAACACTGGCTGCTTCTAGTGCCAGGCCTGGGGCCACTTAACGAGAGGTATGGGCTCGCTGAGACCAGATGCTGCTTGTTTGAAAGAGCCTGGCTGGCGTGGCTCAGTGGTTGAGCATCGACTAATGCGCCAAGAGATTGCTGGTTCAGATCCCAGTCAGGGCAACTGGCAACAGCTTGGGTGGGCCTGAAAGTTGGGTGGGGCAGGGCCTCAGGAAATCACCAGGTCAGGGCAAACAGTTTGAGCCAAGTTTCTGGAGTCCCAGATATGGCAGCTGTATGCCACCCCAGGGAAGGGCTCACCAAAGGAACAAAGGCCTCTGACAGCACGTCTGTCCAGGAGAAAGCTGCCTCTCCAGCCCTCACCCCAATGTCAAACAACTCAGTTCTTCTCCATATGTCTCTGGTACCTTTCAAGCTGCCTCCCTCAATGCTGGAGCCTGGAGGATGCGACCGAGTAAATCTGTGCATGGGCCCTTTAAGAGGAGCTCCCTGGGGTTCCAGCAGCCTTAGCCTCAATTCCCGCTGGCTTTTCCAGCCAGAAGTAACGGGGACTCCTCTCATGGCACTGGAACCCTGAGCTGGGCGCCTGGTGTGTGATGAGAACCCCTCAGTCCTCAGGGAGGACCTTCCCAGCTGAGGTGTCCTCCTGATTTTTATCCACCACACGTGGGTGTGGGACCAGCCGGTCCACGTCTCCGCCCCTCCTACCAGTCTCATGTGGCTGCTTCTTTAATTTCGTAGTTGTAGGACTTCCATTCAGCTGGATTTCAGGCAGTTTTGAATGACGGTTGTTCGGTAGTTTAGTTGTAACTCTGATGTGGTTGTGGGAGGATGTGATACCACGTTTACCTATGCCACCATCTTGACCAGAAGTCTCTATAGTTATCTTTCCTGATGCTTTCTTGTGGCATCTTGAATCCTGTAGTCTTGAATTTATTTTCAGCTTTTGCAGCAACCTGCACAGCTAGTTGAACCAGACCTGAGGAGGGGCGACAGGAAAAAGACAGAGACTAATAGAGAGAAAAGCTGGGGCCAGGTGGGACACTGCTCTCTGATGGAGAAACAGTGACCCTGAGCTAGCTCAGCATGTTTATTATATAGCAATAATGAAGGGGGGAAGGGGTTCAAAAGCTTCATTATCTTCAAACACCAGATGTTTCCACCAGCCTCTGAGTTCAAGGTAGAGACTTTCCATACATTCTTGTCGAGGCTCAGAATGCTCCTGCATGGGCCTTGGCAGCACACAGGATCAACAAGTGACCTTGGACAGAATGCTCCTGGGTGAGCCTTGCAAACGCCACAGGGTCCTGTTCCTGGGTGAGCCTTGCAAACGCCACAGGGTCCTGTTCCTGGGTGAGCTTTGCAAACGCCACAGGGTCCTGTTCCTGGGTGAGCTTTGCAAACGCCACAGGGTCCCGTTCCTGGGTGAGCTTTGCAAACACCACAGAAACAACAAGAGACACTGACTCAGCCACCCTCCACAAACTTTGTTCTTTTTCAAAGTTGTTTTGCCTATTCTAGATATTTTACACTTACATGTGAATTTTAGAATGAGCTTGTCAGTGTCTACAAAAAAACCTGCTGGGATTTTGAATCCGCATCTTAGTAAATGGAATCTTTTCTTGAAAAAATTCTCTTTCTCCATTTATTTACATTTGCTGTACTTTCTCTCAACAATGTTTTGTAGTACAGGTCTTTTACATCTTTTGCCATATTTCTTATTAAGTACTTCATATGTATTGGTATTATTGTCAATATTATTTATATTTCAATTCCTGGTTTTTATCGCTAGTATATAGAAATATAATTTCTTTTTATATACAGAAATACCTCATTTTATTGTGTTTCCCTTTACTGAGTTTCAGACATGTTGCATTTTTTACAAATTAAAGGCAAAACCCCCCACCAACAAAAAGTTTATGATTTTTATTTATTGCGATACTTGCTTTATTGTGGTGGTCTGGAAGCCACAATATCTCCCAGGAATGTCTGTATTAGTTACAGTAACTTTTAAATAAATTTCTTAGATTTTCTACATAGATGATCATATTATGTTTTACTTCTTTCCGACCTGGACATCTTTTATTTCTTATTTTACCTTATTACACTATCTAGATTCTTTAGTACAATATTGAATAGTAGTGATGAAAGTGGACATCTTTATGTCTTGTTGCTGATCTTAGGGGGAAAGTATTCAGTCTTTCATCATTAAGTATGATACTAACTGTAGGGTTTTTGTAGGCGCTCTTTAACAGGTGGAGAAGTCCCACTGATTCCTAGTTTGCTGAGTTTATTAGGAATGGGTGTTGGATTTGAAAGGGTTAGTAATGTTTTAAAGAGTAAAGGTAAACACTTGCAAAAGGCAGAAACTGAAAAATTGTGTTGCTTGCATGACCTTTGCTCAGTCTTAAGTCAGCCCCAGACATTAGGAGAAAGTTACAAAAACTTGAAGATGGCCCTCAAACCCCTCAATGGGAACTTCTAAATCTAGTCTTTAAGGTTTTTAATAATCATGATGAAGAGGCTAAACAGCAAAGAACAGCAGAATTTCAAATGCTTGCTCCTGTCATCAGAGGCCTCACTAATCAAGGGATCAGCAAACCCCCTTCAGGGGACAGAAGAAGGGCACCCACTAGGATCAGCAGAGTGGACCCCCAGGTCCCTGCTTTAAATGCAATCAGACCACAGAGTCAGTCCTCATCCCTTCCTTTGGCTAGCAGAATGGGTAATCCAGGCCTTGATCTGATTGGCCTTGCCGCTGAAGACGAAGGTGCCCAGGAACGGACGCCCCAACCGACTGTCATCTCAAACTCCAAGCCTCGGGTAACTCTGATGGCAGCAGGTAGGCCAATTTCATTTTTAATATCTGCCATGACGAAGTAACCACTTGAGCTAAAGCTGACCCCCCAATTTCATTTTTAATTGATACCAGGGCAACCTACTCTGCCCTCCCCGAGTTCAGGGGACCTCCTTGACACTCTGGGGTTTCAGTTGTGGGAATTGACGGCCAAATATCTCAACTCAGGGCAACCCAGATACTCACTTGTTCTTTAGGCCCTTATATGTTTCTCCACTCTTTTTAGTGTTACCAGCCTGCCCTACTCCCTTGTTAGGGCGGGACATTCTATCTAAACTCCATGCTACTTTAACCTTTACTCCTACCCTCCCCACCAAGCCCTCTCATTTTTCGCTCCAAGAATCTGCTTCATCTCCTAACACAAACCCATCCCCACTCGTCCTCCCCAGTGCCCTTGAGGGGGCGAGGCAGGGCAGGGTCCACTGTTGTGGCCCTGGGTGAACTACCACTACTCTTATTGTTTTGTTCACTGACCCAGTGAGGCAGGAGTAGGGGTGGGGTGGGGGCGAGTGGGAGTTGGGGGGGGTGAGCCCTGAGGGGCTCTCGCATCTGGCGCCAAGTCCTCAGCTGTGCCAGCTGGGCACAACCTGCTCTGGGGACAGTGCTAGGTGGGGAGTTTGACTGGGATAGTACACCTGTCAATCAGTAACACAGATGTACTAAATTAATCTCAGGGAGGACAGAAACCTCCAGTGGAGCAGAAGGGCAAAAGCTCACTTGATCTTGATTCTCAGTATGAATACAGACCGTGAAAGTGGGCACCATGTATATCATCTCTCACTATAACCTTATGAGGGGGAGGGGCACCTATAATCTAACTACTCATGATGTGTCTAACCCCTGCAATGGAGTTTATATGTGCAAGCTCAGAGGGACTTGACGCAATACCAAAAAAATCATACCAGGGAAATTAGTCACTATCCAGGGTGCAGTTCTGCCGGCGGCACTAGCCCTCTCCTCCCTCTATCGTGGTTTAATCATTCGAGCCTTACTGTGTGTCTATCAAATACCTCCCTAGGCCCAAATATGACTGGACTACTTTGTTTACCAGCGGGAATGATGTTTGTAGGTGCACTAAACATTTCTGCCTCCAGGAGAGGAATTGCTATTCAATGCCTAAACCCAGAAAAACAGGGTAGCTTATGGGCAGTGGGGTATGTCACCCCAGCCAATACCTTAATCCATTCCTTCATCCCTAATTCAACCTCATCAAGCCCTGAGCCCAGAAGCCATCATAGGGCAAAAAGGGGAGTCAAACTCTTCATAGCAGGAGTCATAGCTGCAATTACCACTGCGGGCCTCATGGGAGGAGTTACTTATAATGCTATAACAGCAAAAAACATAACCACCACCATGGCAAATATAGGTAGAGATACAGGTGAAAATGTCAAACTTCTTTCAAAATCCCTTGACTCTCTTGCCTGCATGGTAATAGATGATCACATTGCACTAGACTATTTATTGGTCAAAGAAGGAGGTCTATGCATGACAGCAAATTCATCTTGTTGCTTCTGTGTTAACTCAACTGGCCAGGTCGAAGAGAGGACACGATGAATTCTAGATAATGCCCAGTGGCTAGAAGAATTCTGTCAGGATCATCTAGCCCAATCTATCTGGACAAATATAGAGGCAGCCTTGCCTAAACTAAACTGGCTACTCCCCTTCATAGGGTCTCTAGGATTAGCCTTCTTATTATTGCATTTTGGACCCTGCCTCTTGTGCCTGATTGCTAGGTTTGTACAAAATCGACTGCAAATTTTAGTTAACCAGAAAGTTGGACAATTTGTTCCAGCACAGGTAAAAGGACCCTATCACCCCATTCTCCAAGAAGTTATCTAACACATTCTTTTTAGGAGTCCATAACAACCCCACACCTGCAGGAAGTAGACAAAGAGAAACTTTGCCCCTTTTCCCTTTTTTATCATCATTATAAGATGTGAATGAAAGGGTTAGTAATGTTTTAACGGGTAAAGGTAAATGCTTGCAAAAGGCAGAAACTGTGAAAAATTATGTTGCTTGCATGACCTTTGCTCAGCCTTCTGTTGAGTACGAATGATTATCGGATTATCCACAAGACAATGTATCACCCAGCAGATACAGGACGAGATACAAGACCAATCCAACTGCAAAGTGGACAATGAGCCAGGCAGAGTACATCAGCAGGAACTGCTGGAAGCTACAGGTAGAGTATATTACCTATACCCCAACTGTTATTTGAGGCTGAACCTTTTTCAGCTCAGCCCGCCTGCACCCAGGCACATGCAATAAACCCAGGCTCTACATTGGCCTTGTATTGTGGATGTGATCTCCTTCTGGCTCAGACCTTTTAGGATTTAGTCAAGTGCTTTTTATACATCTATTGAGATGATCATGTGCTTTCCTTTTATTTTTATTTATTTTAAATTTTTTTTTTTTTTGTACGTGCCCCTAGCGGGAACCGAACCTGGGACTCTCTGGTCCACAGGCTGATGCTCCAACTGCTGAGCCAAACTGGCCAGGGCTATGTGCTTTTCTTTTAAAAATTTTTCAATATTGTGAACTATACTCACTGATTAATTTTAACATTTTTTGTTTTAATAGTTGACATACAATAGTATATTAGTTTCAGGTGTACATCATAGTGATTAGATACTTATATGCCTTATGAAGTGATTACCATGATAAGTCTGGTGTTCATCTGACACTATATATAGTTATGACAATATTATTGACTATATTTATGATGCTGCATATAAACAATGGTATACAATGGAATATTACTCTGCCATAAAGAAGAATAAAATCTTGCCATTTCCAACAACGTAAATGGACCTAGAGGGCATTATGTTAAGTGAAATAAGTCAGACAGAGAAAGGCAAACACTGTATGATTTATCTTTTATGTGGAATCTGGTTGGTTATTGAAAGTGAAACTGACCTTGCTTTCCTGGGATAAACCACATGAAGGATATACTTTTCTTGTAATATTTTTTCTGGTTGTGATATTAGGATAAAGCCAGCCTCATAGAAATAGATGAGAGGTATTCCCTTCTGATCAATTTTCTGGAAGAGTTTGTGTAGAATGGTCACTTTTTCAACTTCCACTATCATTTATTTTTTCTAGAATCTGGGTACAATCAACTGTAGCAAGGCAGTGCTCAATATTATTTAAGGTTCAATATTATTTAAGGTATCATTTTAGGTTCTTTAAAATACCTCTGTATTTGTAAAGGTGAGAATTCACATTCCAGTAAAACTGGAAAACTAAAATTTAAAAAACCAACAAATTTACTCAACATGATGTAATTACACAGAATTTTATATGCAACACATGGACTTTAATATAACAGAATTGGCCTTTATGAACTATTATAATCCTATAACAGCAAAAAACATAACCTCCACCACGGCAAATATAGGTAGAGATACAGGTGAAAATGTCAAACTTCTTTCAAAATCCCTTGACTTTCTTGCCTGTATAGTAATAGATGATCACATTGCACTAGACTCTTTATTGGTCAAAGAAGGAGGTCTATGCATGACAGCAAATACAGCTCTGACCGGTTTGGCTCAACGGTTGGAGCATCAGCCTGCAGACTGAAGAGTCTTGGGTTTAATTCCTGGTCCAGGGAATGTATCTGGGTTGCAGGTTCGATCCTTGACCTGGTCAGGGTCATGCAGGAGGCAGCCAATTAATGTGTCTCTCTCACATCAATGTTTTTCTCTCTCTTTCTCTCCCTTCCACCCTCCCTTCTACCCTATCTAAAAAAATCAATGCAAAAAATGTCCTCTGGTAAGGACTAACAACAAAAAATAAAAATGTAAATAAACTAGCTTGCACATAAACAAAGTTACTCTTTACTTATTGGTCCCAACCTATTTCATTTTGCATCAACAGACCCCCTTCCATGGCTTTTTACTGTGTAAACAGATTATTCCTCCCCTTAAGACAAGGTGAAAAAAAACCAAAGTTCCCACCCAGAAAAAAAGCATTAACAGAATTGTTAAATTATGAAGTTTCAGCTGATGTAACACCAGAAATAGGTTATAGGCAACTCTTACTTAAGTCTTTTACCTAAGTAGTACTATAGGAAGTTACAGTGTTGACCAAAAGAACACACAGATTTCTCAATAAACTTTGTATTAATGGGTCTCAGAATTCTGTGACAAATTTTTGGTCAAGTTGTTTCCATTAAAAAGTACTAATTTTAAAAATGAATAACTTAAAAACTGCCACACACAAAAAATCCCAAATGGTCCACAAAACATTCTTTCCTTCTGAAGGTTTTACAATGCATTGTAATCATCAATAACCAGTCTTACTATTAAACTTAAGTGGCCAATTGAGACAAATAGTTCTGAGACAGTTTTTCTACCACTGATTAAGATGGAGGTGGCAGGTATTGGGGATAATATTTATTTAACCTTCTGACTTGGTGACTTGGCCAGTTCCAGCTGCCTTCTTGTCTGCTGCTTTGATGACACTCACAGCAACTGTCTGTCTCATGTCGAGAACAGCAAAATGGCTCAGAGGGAGATAGACAGAGAAGCTCTCAACACACATGGAACCATATCAATGAAGGAAGCATCACCAGATTTCAAAAACTTTGGGCCATCTTCCAGCTTTTTCCCAGAACAAAGATTAATCTTCTTCAGCCCAGCAAATTTGTAGGAAATGTGAGCTGTGTGACAGTCCAGCACAGGTGCATATCTGACACTGATTTGGCATGGGTGATTCAGGATAATTACCTGAGCTGTGAAGCCAGCTGCTTCCATTGGTGGGTCATTTTTGCTGTCACCAGTCACATTGCCACAATGAACATCTTTGATGGACACGTTCTTGACATTGAAGCCCACATTGTCCCCAGAAAAAGCTTCACTCGATGCTTCATGGTGCATTTCAATAGACTTAACTGAAGCAAACACCAGTCTCTACTCAGCCCACAGGACAGTACCAACACTATCAATTTTGTAGACATCCTGAAGGGACAGAGGCAGGAACTTGTCAGTTGAACCAGAGCTTCAAGCAGCATGGTTC